CATAGGTGGATATCGGATTGATACCGTATGGATGATGGATGGCAGACCAAAAAAGGATGAACAGACTGGAAATGGATACATCTGATATGAATGTGACTGATAAGTCGATGACTGCGAGATAAATAATTCCTGGGGATATCAATACCTAGGCATCGCATGGACTTAAGTTAGGGGGGAAAACCAAGGCAGGATGAATGGAAGCATAGATCTTAACAGAATGGACGGATCAGTGATGAGTGGGTACCGAAAGGAAGGAATAATCTGGAATGGATGAATAAGTAGATCAAGAATTGATGGAGAGAAATGAAGGGGGATCAGAGGTGGAAGAATGGTCTCGGGATAGAAAAGGAATGAACTATGGATGGTTAAATCACTCCTAAACAGATGGCCTGATGAATGGATCGAGGAATGGTGGACGGAACAAGGAATGAAATGATGGATGAGTGGACAAGTGAGGGGTGAACTTATCCAATGACAGCGGATTGATGGGTCAAAGGTGGAGGGACTGATGATGGATCGAGGAAAGCTTGGTCCGAGAAGCGTTTACAAAACTGGGTTAAATGAACAGATGACATCAGAGATGTGTGGAAGCATCTAGAGGGAATGAATAAAAGTCGGAGGAACCAATGATGCCAGGACGGCGATGACGATAGATCCAGAAAGGACAGATGGATTCGAGATGGAAGGACTAACCCAAAGAGGCGAAAGAAAAACGCGAGAATAAATTACCGAATTAGAACTGTCTAGAATGAAAGGTTGGGTGGGATGGATCTGGAACTAGTGACAGGAAGGATCAGAGAGGTAAAAGAGTGGAAGAGAAAGTGGAGCACCGTATCTGCAACTGATTGGCAGGTGGACCAGGAATGAACCAGCCACGAGTTGAAGGGAAAAATCTGCGACTATAAACTCACCCGGAAGGAATTCTTGTTACGAGACTGGAAAAATGAGCGGATCAGGAGGTAGTGAATGAAGTTGGAAAAAAAGTAAACGAGTCTCCGAGACCTCAATAAATCCACAATAGCCAGATATTTGGATATTTTTAAAAAAGCCTCCAAAGCAGATGAACAAGTAGGCAATATTGATGGAAGGAGGTAAAGGGAGGAGAATAGGTGGGCGATGGGGAGGGCCATTAAATCAACCTTCTCCCCCGCTGGTTGCTCACATGATCACCCGCCTACTCAGAGTGAACCCATGTGACACATCACTTTCGTCGTGAAAAATCACAATTGGCTTTTTTTCCATATGAAAGCGATCAATTCAGGGAATAACATTGAGAAAGTCGTTCTATAAAACGGTTTTTAGCTTATCCTTCGTTGACACATGCAATCCAGCAGCGCCTGCGATCCTATTGGCTGTGCGGAGGATCCATACGCCCTCGTCCCGACTGACAACAATGAAAGTGTAGATGGGATCACTTTAAAGTCACCCATCTGATAGGCAAATGTCAATTTTCAGATGCAAACTTTAGCGTCATCACACCTTCAAGAGTTGGAAGTAACAAGGTGTTCTGAATCTACAAAAGGGTTTCAACGTACCCTCGGCCAAAAACTTCACTTCCGGTGTGGTAGGTATTGCGCGTGAGTGGGTGGGTGGGAAGTTATGATGTTGAGGTGTGTAATAATAACTGGGAGAGAGGACCAAGGCCAACACTCAAAACGTGACAGAGGTGCCAAGCTACGTCCAATGTGGGCGTAATATCGCACGGGTATTTACTTAGTCAGTGTTATTGGCTGTGCTTATAGCTCTAGCATAACAATTTCCAGCCACGCCATAGCGCGCCGGTACAGAAATATTAGCATCACATGATTTTGCTATACGTAGCAGACAAACTAACTAGCAGACAGTTGTACGCCTAGCATTTATTTTTTTGCGAATACAAAAAATGAAAAGAATAGCAAATATTAGAAGTAGACTAAAGAAACGGGAATGCATGTGGTCGCCGACTATAATCAAGCAGCGTATAAAATTGAGTGAAGATGTCGATAACTTGAATTCACGCAAATGGAATGGAAAATGGGCAACAACCAATTCACCGAGAGAAGAAGCTGGCTGCCCAAGGATAAAATAGACTGAAGCCCGGCAGATAAAAGGGGATGGCAAAAACTGCATACTATTCAAACTCACTAGCAAAGCCGGGAGGTAGTGGGGGAGCAGCCATCGCGGGCTGAAATGGAGTAGCTCCAGCAGGAGGTCCGTAGGGCTGGTAAGGTCCGGACTGAACCGGACAGGTTTGCTGTGGAGTTATCCCAGGATTTGTTGCCATATTGCCAAATAACTAAGAACGAATAGACATGAAAGAGAACCAATCTGGCTTACTAAACGGTTTACTGAGTCCATCCATGAACTAAAAAAGGCAAAGGCATTGTAAGGGCAACTAAGTCACTAGAAAGTCTAGTTGTCTATTTCATTTGCTGAGACAGCGATCATGGTACCTAAACAATGATTTATAAGTATACACCAGTATAAACCATATTTTCAAGGAACACATGGTCTTACGCCATTTCTGCTTGACTTGAACATCTGAAAAATGAGACAGCTGTTCTTTGGTTTGCCTCATGAGGAACACCGAAAGATCGTTCAATATCAGATTCAGAAAAGGCAGACGGTTTGCAGGGGACTTGGTTCAGAACAGGTCCAAAGGCTAAAAACGACGAAACAGCCTAAACAAACAGCATTTATTATTAGAAATAATCCGACCTTTACATCCAAACTACGTTTAGGAGTGGATGAGCTTTTGGAATCAAACCATTGGAAGCAACCATTGCCAAGTAGTTTTGCGTAAACAGGACAGAACGCCTTCTTCCCGTCAGACCACTTCTCAAGGGAACCCTCCTTAAGGACCGAATACATTACCCAGCAAATATGGGCCGGTACACCCCCCAACACGACTTAAATACGTCACTTCAAAGTGAACACTTAAAACAAATCATGTTGGTTCATTATTATACATATTTCAGCACGTAACGAAAGAACTAATTCTTGGGAAAAAATTTATTTGTACTCCATAACTTTAGTTTAAGAATTAAGTACATGGCGATTTAAACTTGTCTTTTCTCATAAAATACAAAAAAAATATTCTTGATGAATGACGTTGACAAAATGCAAAAGAATTTCTTACTATTTAGTTAGCCTTGGGCTACTAGCGGTTTTCATTTTATCAGTTAAAAAATTCGTAAGCTTACTGGAAATATTTTGACAGTACTTATGAAGATTAAACCTAGGCGCATGTCAGTCGCATCTTGCACTAGACACTGAAATCTCGAACAAATCAACAGTACCTGTATAAGAATGTTAAGTGTATGTAGCATCTGTTTCTGTCAGAATTTATGTCTTCTTCAAAACACATATGACCAAGTACTTTTGTCAGTTTACTTTTTACGTTGACAGTCTGTACAAGTACAAGAACTATTAAATTCCACGTCCGAGTATTTCCGTAGTGTGCTGTCTGTAGTCACGCACATCGATTCACTCGGCCGGGTCCGACAGTTGCTTCGCGGTGTCTTCCTGGGCAACCTTCTAGTATTCTTCGTTTCTTTCATCGGTTTCGTTGAAAATGCTGAATCTGTGGTTATTTGATCCAGTGTCTCCGACGTTGTGAACGCTGTCCGAGATAGTTCAGACCTTCGATCCGCCTCAACAGTCACTTCACAAGTCTCCATGTCCCCTTCCACATCGACATCTTCCACTGTCACCACCGTTGTGCAACTGGAATCATCACCACAAGCTCTATTTTGCATCCGTTTCGATTTTGTAATTTTGTAGTCTATCATAACCTCTTCATAAGTTCCCAAAGTTTGGACTTCGACATCTCTCAAACTTGTGATCTCATCCTCTTGAACCTGCGTACTGCTATTGAACATCATCCGATTAACCTCACATATCATCTTCGGTGAACATCCGGATCGCTGTCGACAGAGGTACCAACGATCTCGTGTGTACACCAGAAACGTCGCTGTTTGTTGCGATTTGGTGTAGGTTCGACACAGTTCCCGACTTGCCGAGTGGGACCTAACAATGCGTACTCCCACCCTTTCATGCCGATTAGCGTCAACTACTTCTTTCAATCTAACCTTTTTCACACTCTCGAAGATATGCTGATTGGAAGATGAAAGGGTGGGCGACGACGAAGGGGATTCCGGGCTGGAGGGTAAAGCAGGTACCACCTGAGTTGAGGCATTATGAGATGCTCGAATTTTGGAGGTTTTACCACACTGCAGGAAGCCGTCAAGCACTTGACGTTTAGGTACATCGTGTCCAACAACTGTGTAGAACTTGGCTGAGAACCAGCCTGGTTGAAGGGGATCCACTGAGAGGGCGAACATTAGTTGGTTGACGGTAATCACGTGATCTGAAGGCCGTTGACGTGAGGAAGGCCGGACGGCCCTTAAACCACGTGATCGTGTTTTCCTTTCCAAGCATTAGAATTCATTCACCACTAGCCAATTTAACTTTTAAGTCCGAAATCCTCGTATCCATCCATCCACCTAACCATTCATTCTGTGTCAGACCTACCTGGCATGGACCCAGTTTTACATACTTTCTGGTTGTAATGCTTAAAGTGACAACTGCGTTACCTGCTTTGTGGACCAAGCCTTTGGATTAAAGCATCCCTCATTTTCAAGCATCCCAGCGAGGGCTCAAACACCCGCCTTCAATTCGCCCCCTCCCCGCACACGCATTCACACCGCGCGCCCGATTTAAAGCTCGCGCCTCCTTTAGCAGCGTATCGATTTGTCTCTTGTCCGGCGCGTGAAGAGGACAAAAAATAGGAAGGGTAAAATGACCACCACCGAGTACACGACTTGTTGTTTTCCCGCGGCTCGTTCACCCGTCGACTACTGCTTCAAACCGTGCATTCGTCCCAATTGGTGCTCGAAACCGGGGCTCTGGGACCCTCATGCCGTAACGGAGGTAAATTTGCATTCATCTGAGCCGTTCCTTATCCCCCTAACTTTTCATGTAGATCTGTTTGCCCATTTTGGCGAGATCCGTGTACTCTGCTACGAGGACGATGCATCTGGAGAAGGCGTCTTTCGATGAGCCTTGTGGCCGAAGAATACCTGATGGTGATATTTGTAGAGGCATAACGATGTACACAGAGCCTTGGCATAGGGAGGACTGTGTTGAACGAGGTAGTTGTTGGCTCTTCGCCTACTGAAATGTGATTTGAATGACATAGAACGCCATCATCAATCATTAGGCATTCATACGTTAGGCAAATGCGAAAGAGGCAACGGCAACCCATCACATCCTCCACAGCCATGGAGATTACAGTGCCTGATGACCTTAAGTCCGTCCATGTATCCAATCGTCCCGTTATCCATTCAACCGTATAAGAATCTATCGCCTCACCTGCCTCTCTGTCTCCATATTTGTCCACATCCATTATTGAAATTCCTAGTTTTCTTCGCTTTTGCAGCTGTTCAACGCTACATATGCTTCCCCTGCAAGATGGAGCTCACTGAATGCATCGACTTGAGACCGGAACGAGCTCTGGCTGTGCTTCTCTCCTATCTCAAACATCGTGGACCCTTTCTTGTTTGGATTTATCGTGGAAAAGAAACCGCCTATAATATTGGAAGGTACAGTTTGCCATTTTTTGAACACAATCTACCTTATTTTGGACTAAAATCGCACAACCGCCCCTCTTCTTCTATACAGACATCTGCCAAGAACGGTTATTCAATTCTTGACCCACCTTCCAGAGGTTGAAATGAGTGCAGCAGTTGCAATTGGACGATATTTAAGCCACCTTCTACGAATTGCCTATGGACATCGAATGATGAATATGCGAAAGACTCTGGCTACAGTTTGGGGTCCTATCTTCCTCAAGGTCGAGCCTGCAACCGATATAAAACCACCTATTCGTATGACTGAATGCGAGAAATTTGACGCAGCTGTTGAGGTAAGCTCCAGGTCTTGCAGGTAAAAACGAAACGCCTTTAGATATTCTCTCGAATGCTGGAAACTGTTCCTTGGCATACAGTGACACCCTTCCAGAAGGTCACACTTTCCATGCTACCCAACGATCCCTGCAGCTTCATGACTACCAACAGCATTCGCAATGACTGCGTTCAGGAGCTTATGAAGGAGCATCCTCATGCTAAAGGCGCTCTCGCTGACATTCTTCTCTCTGAAGCCATAGAAGAGGCCAAACAAGTTGAGGAGGCAAAAGAGGAGGCGAAAATTTGTGAAACCGAGGTTGAGAAAGACCTAGGCTGTGTCACAAACGATGTCTGTGTTTATCATGAAGCCCCGTTGAGTCGTTGCCCACCAGATACGTGTGACTTGACCTATGGAGCGAGGACTCGACTGCCACAACAGGACAAGACTTCGTAGGGAGACGAAATAGGCGATGCACTTTTTCCTAAGGAATTTAATATTAGTCTTGCGATAGCGTTGGTGTTGTCTGTTGTTTTCATTAGGTAAGGGGGAGGAACCAATCAGTTACGTAGATGGTGCTGCTTGTTGCTATCATTGGATGAAGAGAAGAACCAATCAGCTGTAGGCACTGTGCTGATTGGATTGTTAGCTATCAAATCTGTACTTTATTGGTGATCGAGAATAGCTCCAAGTTCTTGTCAGGAAATCGGAGGGTCGTAAACTTAAAACCTTAGAAAACACTTTTTCCCTTACTACTTTACCGCAAATAGGAATACGTTCATGGTATAGATTCAACATTTCTAGGTGCTTTAGGTTGGGACTCAGTGGGACTTTTTTCGCCACTATCCCGAGGGCATCCTAATCCACAGATATCTAGACGGAGGGTAGTGAGATTAGTAGACAGCTGTCATGGTCTGTGACATGGTCATCGTATCATCCACCTTTATACGCATGACCCAAGAGTCTCTGCCTGACCTGAACGGGTCAACATTCCACACCAACATGGATAAACAAGGAAGCAGTAATCAAACGCCTATATTTTTGTCCTTTAATCGATAATAGAAGATTATGGGTGGAAGGTGTGCTTATTCCATTGTAGAAGGCTCCTCACTGACCTCCGTCTCCATCTGTTCTGTACTCTCCATCATTACCGTGGGCTCTGCTTCCAATGAATCATTCTGTATAGTTGACTCATTTTTCTCATCACCTTCTTCAACTACCTCCTTACTATCAGACAAATCTGGTAATTCTTCACATAGAGCTTCTACTGCCTCATTATATGCATTGTTAACGTTTTGAGGATTATAATCATCACAAGAAACAACATTAACAGGCTTTTCTGTACAGGTGGAGTCATTTTCATTAACGCGTTTAACTTGAAAATCTTCACACGACGGCTTTTGGCTACTGCCTAAGATTTTCTTCTGGTTTCGACTCGGTACTTTAAAAATAAACAGATAATATATCAGCGAGAGTCTTGACAACACAAAATTAAACCAACAAATCAACACAACCCAGTATCTTACATTTCTTTATCAGCTGATCGTACTAAAAACAATTATTTCATAATCATCACAACAAAAGGGTGAAAACCTGGCTACTGACTTTATAAATAGGCTTACTTTCGCTAACATCCAGCTCAGTAGCTGGTTCGTCAACTCTTGTCAGTTCAATAGACCTTGCACGCCAACGGGAGACGCTAAAACCTTCATCCTCTCCTTTTCTTTTTTCCTCTAGTTCACCAGGAAGGATTAAGTAATCACCGGTTTGTTGGCAATTCAATTTGTCAAATACATATTTCCCTTCACCAAAAAGCTGCCAAAAGATACAGATTATTAAATAACACAGTCGTTTAGTTGACACCACATATAAATTGATTGACTTACTTGCCCTTTTCTCCAGGTTCCAAGAAACCGATACTTTGGGTTGATAACCTCCCCTGAACCATCCATTAACCCATCCCGCCACACCCCAACAAATTTACAGCCAGTAGCTGCAAAAGTGTAGGTTCCTTTGCCATGGCGAAGGTGGTCACGCCATTCTCCTTCATATTTGTCCCCGTTTATATAGTAATAAGTTCCATAACCGTTTCTTTTATCATCCACCCAGTAACCCTCATAACGAGAACCATCAGGATAATAGAACGTCCCTTGTCCATGTTTGTGATTATCCAAATATTCACCCAAGTAGCGAGCCCCATTTTTAAATCTGTTGTAATAACATTCAGTAAACTATAACTTACAAGTAATAGCCTTTACCATTTCTCAGCCCATTTTCATACATGCCTTCATAAGTGTCGTGGTTAGGAAGAATAGTCTTCCCAAAACCGTGGCGTTCCCCTTTTTCATTTCTGCCTCCTTCGTAAACTCCCAAGTAGACTTCATCTTCCTCCTCCTCAATATCGCCTTCAGACATGCTTGCTTAACAGTATTTTTAATTGCAAATATCGAAACATAGAATAGCAACTAAAGTTATAGCTACGCTGGAAATTGATTGGTTCAAACAATATCCAGATTATTTTCTAAAATCAATATGACATCCTAACAACATTTTGCAGTAATTCTAACTACAGTCTTCTAAAAAATATAGTTCTAGTAGTAAAACAGGCTAATTTGCCTCCAAAAAGGTTATGTAAAAGTGATTTTTAGTACTAATTGCTTTAATACAATGCCGTTATGTGAGCCTATTTGACGCCTAACATAAAATATGTAAAAAAAACTATCTTATGGGCATTTGTTTCTAAGTTAAAGGGCGAACTATCACAGCCTTGTGCTTTAAGCAAGTTCTGTTTACTCGAACTACGTCGTCGAAGCATTCGGTGAGTAGATTGAGTAAATAAAGGCATCTCGTTTTTAACTTGCCTAACGAAAACTCATGAATTATTAAAGTGTACTGGAAGTCAGAGTATGACATCCCCTAGGGGGTTGATGTAAAATGACCTCTTTGCCAACTGAAAGGTAGATTCAAAGAAATATGTATTACATTATGCCAAAATACGTGGAGTAGTTAGATTTTTGTTAAACTACGAGAGCACCTGATTTGCAGTGGTTTACATTTCCTTTCTGCGGCATGGCCTTTAAACCATGCCACTGGTTTCCCAGCTTTTTTGTACATTAGGCACTTACGTATCTCCAGAGCACTTTAACTTTACGTGACTTCAAGGGAGTCTCAGGGCGCTGTTAGCGTGTCTGATGGACTAGTTCAACTATTTCCGCAAATACTTTTGCTCACAAACGCTTTACGTTAGCACCTTGCAGACACAAGCATTAACATTAGTGGTGCCCTTCGATATAGCCCTGCCAGTGCGAGAAAATATTATCTCAAAAAACAACCAGAAATTGACTTTATGGCTATGCTTGTTAAGAAAAATGCAAAACTCGATTAAAAATGATTGTGTTACTTATGCAGATTAGAACTAATGGTAGAGGCGACAGTTTGAGAGATGAAGGAGTTAACATCTAACTACCAATTAGTGAGGAAAACTGGGTTAGATTTCTGCTAAAATAAGACTTGTAAAGTCTGGGGTCTTAAGACACTTTCTCTTTTGATTCTATATCTGTAGACTTGATTGATAGAGGGCAAAAATTTAGGGGTTTCGAAGAAGAGTCTGCCCTCCTTTAGCTGCTGTAGAAAATTTGCTTCCCGAGATAGCAAATTGGGCATAAATCCAAACACTAAACCATTGTTCTAATGTGTATTTAACTGGACATGAATTACTCAATTTTTTCCTGTTATGCCTATCTTTCTCAGTCTAGGAGGCAACGACCTGAGGTAAATTGAGATATTTCACGGTGACCTCAAATGTGTAATTAGTTCATTTTTTTTCCTCCTTCCGACTCTGCCTTCACGCCCTTGGGAGGAGCCAATTTGTTAAATGAGGACATTTTTTATTAACTGGGTGTTATAAAGCTGGTGCAGAGGATTGCAGCTACATTGGTTGGGAGTTTGCTCTCGCCCCACGGACCAAGACCGCCCGCTCAGTCACGCGAGTCGGATGCATTTACCGCCTCTCGCTCCGAGGGTGTATTTAAACAAGCACCGTCTTTGGTGCTACCCTATGGGCGGCGGCTACATGTGCCATTTCCGGTGGTTTTCTTTCCTCCTTAACTATGCAAGCGTCGTCATTTTATCCGACCGGAAGTATTCCCCTGTTCGGACAAATCTCTCTGCGGTCTGGACAAAACGCAGAACGTAGAAGCACTCTCTCCATTTTCACAGGATGTCGACAAAAGAACTTTTTCGTATCTGACTTTGTAACAGTGAATAAATTCTAAGTCCTTTCTCAAGAGAAACGTAACGTTTGAAACTGCTGCGATCAGTTTTCCGGTCTCACATCTTCAAAATCAGGTCTCCAGCCACATGGATGTAAACTTGCTTTTCACCTTCACTGAAGGTTGCCGGATTCCTCGCAAAGGCGTAGTGGAGATTTGATGTAGGACTCAAGTTACTTTTGAGGGTTCTACCATGGGTAGGAGACCATAAGCAGCCTCGTTACCAATTCATGGAGGGTCTGGTATCAGAGCCGATAGTACTAGCCCACGGAGGATGGAAAAGGTCAACTTAATGCTGTTCCTCTGAGTGCTGGTCTTCGTAATCCAGAAGGAAAACACGGCCCTGACTTTCCACCTTTTTGTGGTCAGAATGAACCCTCTAGAAGCCCAGTCCCAGTGATGGAGGCAATTGCAAAGAGGGGAAAGCGGTGCTACTACTGCAGCGACCCACAACAGACAAGACATAACAAGGCCTGATTAGTCGGTAAATAAAATACACTTTTATTCCACCACACGCGCCTATTCGACCTTCAATGAAGGTCTGCGCACATCTCATGCGCGATTACTGGGACGAATGAATTGACTAGGAAGGGGAGTAGGAAGAAGGTGACGAAATGGAAAACCTTCATGTCATGGCAACCGTCTCCGTGTCTTTCTTCATCGTAGAAGAGGACTCGTCAATATCGGAAGACGGTGGAGGTGGCTGCAGCGACGACGCTAATGGAACCAATGGCTGTTCCTCCATCTCCTCCTCCTCCTCCTCTTCCTCCTTCACTGGTTCTAGAGCAGGCTCTTCAGCCACTAAAGTCGCCTTCACCTATGAAGGAGAGGACAATAGAGAATTTCGCGGATGCAATGGATCCCCATAGACGGTTAACAGATGCATATTTGATTCGGCCTAGATTTCAAGGTTAAAAGTAGAAAACCAACAACACTGACGTCGGAAAGCTACCCTCAATAGGGACACCCCTTCACCAAATCTCGAAATTTAATGCAAGAAATGTAAACTGCTACTATCCGAATGAAGTTGATGGAACGAATGACGTCGTTCATCAATGGGAATCTACTTTCAAATCCCCAAAGAAGAAATTTGTAACATCAGATCAACTTTAATGGAAGTCGATTTACGCACCTCGGCTGTCGTGCTAGCAGGCACTGCTGCCACAACCGGAGCACCGCTGGGGGCACTCCACGCCAGTCCTGAATCCGTTGCTGCCTGCGTCTGTGGTGGCTGAGGCTGAATCGTTGATCTAGAGGGCAGATTTCCCATTGGTACTCCTGCTGTCGTTATCACTTCACCTCTGTCTTCCTCCGACAACACTTCCCCAACTCCCCCACCTCCACCTTCCACCACAGCGCCACCAAGGGTTGAATCAGCATCCAGACCTCCGAGGTCCACTGGAGCTTGAATTTGCGGTTGAGCTTCCGTCTCTGTTGGCGTAATGAACAGGCTGGAAGGCAGTGGAGCCGGAGAGAGGATTGTTGAAGGATCTGGGATAGTCGGCTGAGGAGGTGGGGGTGGCAGGGGAGGTTCCACAGCTTCTATCATCGTCGCCGTTACGCCTCCAGACGACCCAGCATCGCCAACATAGCCCACGATCCCGGGATCGAAAGGCGGTTGTAGTGATGAAGGTGGTGGTTGTGGTTGTTGCAATTGTGGCGGTGCCGGTGACTGCGCCAGATTCACGGTAGATTCAGAGGTATTTCCTGTCCCCGGCTCAGTGACAGAAGTAGGTGGAGGGAGAGAAGCAACGCCCCCAATAACAGCGGACCCATCTTCTGCTGCTGCTGCTCCGCCTTCACCGTAATCGAAGTAATCGTCCACGTAGATACCACCACCACCGCCGCCACCAACAACTCCGGGGCCGGTTGTGGTGTACGTTGCCGAGATGACCTCGCGATTTGCTAGGTAACGCAAAGAACTGGCAAACAGTGCGGCTAGCAGGAAACTACCGCCAGCGAAGTAGAAACATGTTTCTGCGGCATAGACAAGGGGAGTGTTTGAATTGAGCAATGGAGTGAAATCGGGTGCTTTCGAGGCTAGAGTGTCGAACAGATGACCTGTGGAAAGAGAAAAAGAGGGAAGTGGAGTTGTTTGCCGACTTGACCTTTCCTTCAATTTTTGTCACTGTTGTGCAAACGTACCACCGATGATCGTGCCAGCGATACTAGCAACGCCTTGAAGGACAAGCATGTGACCAAAGGCATTGGTGAGTTTGTCTAATCCGAAGAGCTCCACCACAAGGATGCTTTTGAGAGAGACCACCACGGCTGCAGGATGAAAGGGGGGCGGGAGGGAGAGGAAATGAAGAAGCCTTTAATTGTGAAGCCAACTTTTGTAAATAGTGGAGCAAGACGTAGAAGAATGAAAGTGAATACGGGAGGGAAAGGACTGGCGATGAGTGGATAGGTGCAAGAGAAGGAGACAACGAGAGATCCACCAGGTGGATGACTTGATGGATACGGAGGTGGGTGCGTGGGTGAATGTTTAAGCAGAGGATAATGGAACGAGACAATGGATGAACGAAGGTGTAGAGAGGAGGCGAGAGGTGAGGGAGAAATGCAGACGCACCGGAGAAGAGACCGAAGAGACAACCGAAACAGATGAGGAGGTTGTAGCTACGTCCCACTAGCGGTGCCATCCCGCACGCCACTCCGGCCAGAAAAAGGGAGGCCACGTTCACGCGCAGGCAGTCTGCCCACTTGTAATGGCTAGACCAGGCTGGTGGAAGAGGCCAGGGAGTGAGGAGGCAGAAACAGTGAAAGACATGATTAGACAGGCAGATAGACAAAATAAAGGGATAAAAAGGTCCTCAGGCTAATACATTTCGACGGGCGGACAGTCCATTACATCTGTCGGAAATACATTTCCCTCTTTCGACTTTTGGAATGATTCGAGGCATTACGTTGGTGGCGATGGGCAGCGGATCCAATTCTGAGGGACAGCTGCCTCAATTCCTACTACTGAATGCTAAACATTGACCGGGTAGAAGAAGGACATCTACTGTGGATGGGAGGATTTGTGACGACCCTCAACGGAAAGGTTGAAAAGGACATCCACCTTCGGCAACTACCCCAGTCCCGTAGTCTGCAGGAACGCTATTTTTGCAGCGGAAGAGACACTAGCCGTAAACCATCCGGCAAAGGTCGTCACGGAGCTGTCTACCGTCCATGCAAGATGTCAAGGATGTCTGGATAGAACCTCCTTGACAGATATGGCTGGACAGTACTGAGGTGAGAAACCTCATCTCCACGGAGCCATGCCAGACCCCGTTTCAAACAGGACAGAGCTGCAGATTACGTAGAGTTGTTGAGTGAAATCATTGCCGCTGCGGTCAAGTACCTCGTCAGTTGCATGGAAATTGGATGACCGGCGCAGCTGATTGGTGGATGCTTGTCCTACGGCACCGACTACTTTATGATGGCCGACGCGGTGGGTTTACCAAGGGAAACGCAGCGGACGACGCTTACTTCGCGGATTGTACATTTGCTGGGCAGCATGCCCACCAGACGATGGCAGTATCCCCCCCGGGCTCCCCTCCTGTACGTCGACAATACAGTTCCGGTAGGGGTATTGTGCCCTCCTTCAACATCAGGAAGGAGTGGGGGCGTCACACCGATTCACAGAGGTAATGTCATCCGAAAACTTACCTCCTGGCTCCCTTGTGTACCACGCTAGCTGTTTCAGCCCTCCAGCATCACCACCTTTGCCATAAAGGCGAGCTTTGGATCCTGGGAGGCCAATGAGCATCTCTTCACCCTCCTGCGTGATCTACGGCTTTATTCCCAAGACTTTTGTCTGTTCGACCGGAGAAAAGCTGCTCCACATTCAAGAACCAAGGCAAAGTAAAAAGCCGACAAAAATCCACCTAAAGTGTAAACCAATCCACAAGATGCTTGTCAAATTCATCGCCCTCAGAAATGACAAGAATCCAATGGCCTGAAAATCACCGGTGAGATTTTAATCAAGTGACTTTGCTGAACCACTAGAGACAGATTGCCGAGCTGGAGGACTGAGTTATGGATCCAGAAGTTAGCTATGACCTCCGTCTACCTCCTGACATAAAAGTCCCTCAATTCCCACTTCAAAGGCAGATGGGAAAATGAATAAGTAGGATGCTGCAAAACTCTCCATCAGAGCAGGGAGGACCCCGCTGAGAAAGAAGCTCTGCCAAGGTTGGATGAAGAAGCCAGAAGAGAGCTCGACACGAATCCACAGAGGAGATGCAGGGAGAAGCGCACAAACCTACGAGGAGACGAGACATTGTGTTGTGGACCTTCAAAAACCCCTGATCAGCCTCAATTTTGGTTGTAGGCACTGATAAGTATCTCAACATGGAGTTTAGGGGAGAAGACAATGCACTGGAAATAGGCAGCATAGCATCGAGAGGAGGAGCCCAGGTTGAATGACTGATAGCCCATGACTGAAAGGAGGTGCTATCTATTGGAAGATTGAAATCGCCACAGTCTATACGACTACCAAGTGACGGTTCAATGCGCAACAGGAGGTGGACTGCTCGTGCCTTGATAGAATTGTAGAATGTGTGGTGGATCATTGAGGACTAATGCACGTGGAGGTACAAAAACCACTTTCCATCACAAGTCAGCAAACCTACTTTTGACGTGCTTTCAAGAAGTGAGGAATATCTCTACAACCAAACAACCTTGTTGCCATCCATCTGTTTAACTAACTTTTCCCCTTGGATCTCCTCATCTTTCCTTTGCTTTTCGAAGAAAATACCATGACCTTCACACCATCCAGCCGTCGCTCTCGTTCAAAGGTCAAACAAACAAACCGCTCACCTTTTTCGATGTACAGTGCTGAAAGAAAGGGAAAGCAGGACGGGTGAGTGAACAAACTCGGTTGATGAAATGGAGAGGACAGGGGAGGGTAACTTCTTACTGGCAATGCAGCGACCAATGGTGTTGGCGAATCCAATGCAGGAGATTAGGGAACCGGCTTCATGCGGTGTCCAGTTGTTCTCCGCCACCATGTCGGGTAGCATAAAGTAAGGAATGACGAGACCTAGAAAAGTTGGCAGGATAGACGGATGGATGAATAGAGAATGGATGGACAGGTGGAAAGATCGGTAGAGGAGCGCAGAAGTACAAGGACTTCAAAGCAAAATTGGCATTACAAGAAATACAAAAACAAAGCCGAAGAATAATTCAACCCACCCCACATTGTGAAGACATTCGACAACAGGAGACAAATGAAGGTGGGACTGAGAAGTAGTCCCGGTGCCAGTAACTCCTCCAGAAAGGTCAAGATTGGATTGGAACAGCCAAATCTCTTTCCGATTGGGAGAGGAATGGAAATAATGTCGTCTCCCTCGTCCTCATAGTCCATGACAACACGCACAGCGTCTCCGGCGCACTTGCCACCTGTCTGTGATAACTTCGACAGCAGTTGATTCGGATTATTTTGGTGCTGTTGGTGGATAGTGGTTGTTGCTGAGGTGATGGAGGATTTAGGGTCGATGGTCGGGGCGACGACAGGAGTGTTGGCGATGACCACGGCCGTTGTGGTGCTGTCTGTCTCTGGACAGAAGCCACGGGTGGAAATGGTGGCATTGGGAGTAGCGGCAGGGTGGTGAGTGGCAGGTGAGATGGGGCCGATGTCCCAGTTTGATTGATCGCGGATGGCCTACAGAGGAAAGAGGAGATGGGGAATGTGACGAGCCTTTCGAATCAAGCAAACAATAAGCGAGGAATCCAAAACAACTCACCCAGACATTACTAGCATCTCGAAGCGGAATTGCAGACACCGGTGTGTGATTCAGCTGCAAGGCTGATCCAGTGAAAAAGAGATCCTTTTTATACTGCGGACGCATCATTTCGCGACGCAGTCTATGCTGTACCTCGGTGCGCACCTCTCCGTCTAGAAGTTCGGCCACCTCCTGTTGGATCTCCAAAGGCACCTGCATTCCCCGGTTGGAGGAAGTGATACTGGCATCCGAAATGGTTCGTCGGAGACTGAGACACTGGAAATAGGCAACAGCTTGTGTCTCTGGTTTAAGTTACTGATTTGGTTGGTAACATGCTACTGATAGTTGCCAATGCTGCTAGTAGCTACTTATATAGAGTATTTAAGTAACACTTTTCAGAGCGTTTACCAGAGCGGTCACTCAAGAGCAAGCAATAAATCTCAACCTGTTTTCCCTTGGTAAAGAGTATAAGCTAAAAATATCGGTTAATTATGCAGCCAGAGAAGAGTCCGTCGCGCTACAATAAAGTCGAATGGCCAATCTAGGAGTAAGAAGCAGTCTCTACCAGTACGCTTAAACATGCAGGCAAAGCAACTCAAAGCGGCAGCAACCAACGCATTCCAGCAAAGCCAGACAATCAACCTACCTCCGAGGCGCAGGCAGAAGAGGGTACAAAGAAACGACGCGGCGGCCCTGGCGACGGCACCTCCACCGTCGCTACCGTTAACTCCCGACTTTGCAGCAGCGAGGACAACGCACGAGCCTGGTTATTGTTGTTGGCGTTATTGCGAGTGGGTAGAAAGAATGACACCACTTGCATGCAAAGCATCACTCTCAGACGTACACACACACACACACACACACACACATAAGCAAAAGGCAAAGCAGAAGCAAATTTGGAGATGCTAACGGCCTGCTTAGGAGGGGTCAGTATCACTCCCCTCCCTAATCTCACTTGAACCACAGTGAATCACCCCCTTCCATGAAGCAAATCAGTGGTATGATTATGGCCCTGAACATCTAGGCCGCCTGCTACACTTGCAAGCCTTAATTCGAAGGGGCTGTGGTGGCTACTTATATGAGGCTATCAGTAGCAAACCAGTCTCAAAGTTAAGTCGGGGGGAGGATTAGCTACTTATATCACGTACGTCAGTAGTATGTGACCTCGTCTATTAGTAAAGCAAAAACAAGTGGGTTTTAGTTAATTGTATGTGGACTGTCAGCCGTACACTCATGTGTACCCTGTGGCCCCACCTATGGCAGATGTCATTACCGTGGGTGTCTTAATAGCTACTTATGAAGTGGCAATCAGTAGTATCGCCTGGCAATCAACCTTGCTCCACAAATAAAACGGACATTTCATGCTAAAAATGTGCTCGACTTTAAATCCACCAGAGCGCAATCGGTCTCAGGTGCTTCCAACCTTTGAACATGCACTTTAGTTCCCCCTAGAAGGACTTCTAAAGGTCTCTTCTCAATAAAGACAGCTTAACCCACCTTCTGTGTTTGTGGTGTATTACTTCCAGCCGTGGGGTAGACGCTAGTAGCATTGCTAATGGATCGCATCCGAGAATTTGCAAGTGCAGCGGTCGCCTCAATGGCAGGATTGGCAGCGCCCGCGGATACGGCAACCGTAGCAGCGGTGGATGCACCAACCGAAGCCGCGGTGGCGCCAGATTGGGCGAGCAGCTGATGATGCTGCTTGGCCATGTAGTTTTGCACTGCAATGGAGGCTTGAGATTGCACATAGCTTTGAATCAGCTGAGGAAGGCTTTCGCGAACAAGGTTAAGACGGGAGAGCTGAAGGAGACAGATAGAAGATCTAAATATGAGCATCTGAAATGGCAAAAAAATGCGAGTTCTGGAAATTACGGATGAGTAAAAAAAAACTCTTAAACTTGATGAAATAATAATGCTGGACTTGAAATGGCAATGTCAGAATTGGAAGGGTGTCGAATCTCTGGCCTCTCGGACGGCTACTTATATCGAAGATAAGTAGTATCGTGCCCATAAATGGTGGCAGCGATTTCCATCGAGAAAGAGGGGCAAGGATAGTTATACCACTAGGGGAAAGCCATTTTACCAACGATCACCTAAACTCTTCCAGGTTCTTCACAAAGAACCATTCAAGAGCTGCAAATGGATCCACAAATAGCATTTCATTCAACCAATGCCGAGTGACTTGAGGGAAATAGGGTGATTCAGAGCATAATAAAAAGCGCCGTTTTGTGAGGCATAGAAACAATGGCACTTGGCAAGTCCCCTCAAGTCAGAGCAGTGAGTTCTACCGGAAACCGCGGAAAAGATTTTCTGACTAACGATTCAGAAGCACCGACTATAGGATCAAGTGAGGCTTTGTAAAAGAGGGTTTAGAATTCCCCATCCTACAGTATTCGCCTTTGGAAGGAAGAACAATTCCACCTCTGAAGGTGACGCCAAAACTCACCCCAGTAGCATGAGAGGTGTTTGCTAAGGTGGATGACTTCCTTGACAAGGAGGGCTGCGAGACGTTCGAGTCACACCGCACCGGTGTCTCGCCGCCTCCACTATTACCATCACCACCATCACCATCGCTCTCCTGACAGGCGGCAAGACGGGCTTCCATCTTGCGCATCACCGCCTCGGATATGCGCGTGATTGAGGCAGCGGTGAGGAGGGGCGGTCGATCCGCCACCAGTGGCGCGGCGATTAGCTCGTTGTCGCGTGTGATCACCATCCCGTCGAGGCTGCCGATGGAGACGGTACGCTGGCGACGCTTCTCCTCGATAATGCGTTGCATTATTGAGCCGCTAGGAAACGATAGTGAAAGGTTTACAAGTGGCGGAGTTGAAGCCCTACTCTTTTGAATCAATTTTCCAGCTATTCAAAAAACGAGGACTTCGAAGGAGGGTTTCAAGACTTATCGAATGAGGAAAACCACCTCTTCCTGCATTTCTCGCCCTTAAGGTCACCATAGACTAGTCTTCCAGTTATTGAAGACGCTTTCATGACATTCGGGAATTGAAATACCTTGTCTCGTGGTCAAGTGGCAATATTACGATAATTTGGAGACCGGAAGACATTCCATGATCAACGTCAGTGGAAGAACTTCCAGACAGAGAGCTTCACACGGGTATTGCCATAAGTGGATGAAATGAGGTAGCCGGCCTTCGGAAGACCCACCAAAGAAAGGGCACAGCGCTGAATAGCTCTGTAAGGCCAACGAAGTAGAACTCGGGAGTTGCGGACCAAAAGTGACCCTTAAAGGGACGAAGATCTTCTTGAAAGACTAGAAGGGGGTGAGTTCCACACCTTGAAGTCTTGCCCAGGCGGTCAGTTCAAATCATCCATCTGTGGAGTCAATCTTTCAACTTCAATTTGCTTTGGTAATAACTCAAGAGCGCTTCAAAGTATCTGAAATATCACAGATCGTAAGCCCTGTGGCATGTGACTTAACTTAGCAGACATGACCTAATTGCGCTAGTCACATGAGAAGGATCGTTGGAGTCGTCACACTTCACGTGCAAGTGGCTGCATGTTGTGCAGTCCTGCGAAGTCGCTGTCAGAGAAGCGGTGCCGGAGAAGATGACTGACATCGCCTACTAGGAGGGAGACCCTTGAGTATCCAACTGACGACCCACATAGTGTGCAAGGTGGGGGGCAGGGGAGCGCGTATAAACTGCAAGAAGTTGGTGAAGGAGTCGGGATAAACAGAGATTAGTGTGAAATTTGGACCATCGGTTCGTGATCAGGCGATGATGGTGCTCGGCGTGGTCATAATCGGGAAGAAGTGCAGCCCATCATCGAGCATGATTTGGAGGATGAGGAAGTGGATACTTCATTCACCTCGTATTCACCTATACATCCATCCCGTATCAATCCAGCCATCCATCCTGGATCTATCCATTGTGTATCCATTCGTCCAAGATCCCTCCTGGATCCATCCCTCCATTCATCCATCCGTTCTAGATCCATCCATCCATTTATCCATCCTGGATCCACCCATCCATAAATAAATATTTTTAATCCCAAACACTCCAACTCTTCACGCAACCAATCGACCGACATTTTGTGCGTGTGGAGGGTGTTTTGAGGTAAATCTTTGACAAAAGCCTGAGGTTTCCCAACAAATAATGATTTTCATAGGGTGGAAACTTTATTCATTTCTCCATACAGCTCCTATGGTGCACTTGTGTGTTTATTCCAGCAATGGGGCTGACTTGGCAAGTGCCGTGCTCCAGTTTCTTGAATATGCAAATGCGTGCTGTGTTAAGCGGTCCTACATTAGGGCGCCCTTCTCTTCAATAACTGCATCAACCGATGGAGTAGTTGTGACGATCCGGTGTCCAGAATCAGGCATCTCACCATTATAAAGGCTACAGGTGGAATCGTCTTCGACACCATTCAAATGCTTTACTGCTGAACAATCAGAGGTCTCGTAGAGCCAAAAATCCCCATCCATGGTCTTGTTCACAATAAACTCGCCTGCTTGGCCTCTAGCATGAACGCCAGGAATCAAACACCCTTAAAATATACTACCGCATTCAGTGCTCCTTAAATATCATTACGTACTACCTTTCCAATCTCGAACTTAAGGTCATTCCGCTTCAATTATTTACCCAATCATGTAAGTTGCCCGAAAAAGATGGCGCAGTTGATTCGAACCGAAAAAACCACATCTTCCGACTCAAAAATATGGAACGCAATTCCTCTATCAGCATGCTTTATCTACTTCTTCTTTTTGC